GAAAAGAAAAGGAAAGAGAAAAGAAAAGGAAAGAAAAAGAAAAGGAAAAGAGAAGAAAAGAAAAGAAAAGAAAGAGAAAAGAAAAAAGAAAAGAAAGAAAAGAAAAAAGGAAAGAAAGAGAAAAAAGAAAAAAAGAAAAGAAAGAGAAGAAAAGAAAAGGAAACAAAGAGAAAAGAAAAAAGAAAAGAGAAAAGAAGGAAAGAAAGAGAAAAGAAAAGAAAAGAGAAAAGGAAAGGAAAGGAAAGGAAAAGAAAAGGAAGGAAAGAGAAAAAGAAAAGAAAAGAAAAGAAAAAAGGAAAGAAAGAGAAAAGAAAAAAGAAAAGGAAAGGAAAGGAAAAGGAAAGAGAGAAAAGAAAAGAAAAGGAAAGAGAAAAGAAAAGGAAAGAAAAAGAAAAGGAAAAGAGAAGAAAAGAAAAGAAAAGAAAGAGAAAAGAAAAAAGAAAAGAAAGAAAAGAAAAGGAAAGAGAAAAGAAAGAGAAAAGAAAAAAAAAGAAAGAGAAAAGAGAAGGAAAGAAAGAGAAAAGAAAAAAAAGAAAAGAGAAAAAAAAAGGAAAGGAAAGGAAAGGAAAGGAAAAGAAAAGGAAGGAAAGAGAGAAAAGAAAAGAAAAGAAAAGAAAAGAAAAGAGGAAAGGAAAAGTGAATGCTTTGCCAACAACATCCGGTCTGGAGGTCTGCCCGGCGGTCGGCCCCTCGCACGCGCACAACCTAATCCGACCCCCACAGGGCGCATCCTAGGAACTGGCCCCATGCACAGCCGTCTTTTCACCCCCAAGCCCTTAGCCTGACTCCGTGCAAGATCCAGACAAATGTTACCACCTTGACGCGTAAAGGATGCTCAGGTGGGTTTCTGAGAAGTCCCCACCCCCACTCTCCCAGCAATACTCTGAAGATGACGCCCACCGGTCGCCCAGGCCGGCCGAGACAACAGCCGCCCCGTTTCAGCAACTGTTTTTCACTATGTAACGAGTTACAAAAGCCATTTTAACCAGCCCGTCGGGTTCAAAGGCAGAAAAAGGAAAGAGGAAAAGAGCTCTTTCAGAGGAAGTCCTCACGTATACACGAGGCGCATACTTGTGGGTGTATGCAGAGACCCTGAGCTCCTAAATCCCATTTCCCAGGCCGACATCACAGAAGGACCGAGAGGCCAAGGAGGTCCGCTGGGGTCCAGGCCGCGGGAGACGTGGTTATGCTCACAGCCCAGGAGAACAAAAGGCTTTGGATTCATGTCAGTGGGGGGTGGCCCAGGTGGGCTTTGGGACACCACAGGTGAGTCACGACAACGAGCCCGTGGAACCTCTAAGAAAGACGCCACACGGGTCGTCCGCCCACCGGGACACAGGGCGTGAGCCAGAGCACGTGGACACAGAGATGATTCCAGAGGGCCCTGCCGCCTGGTCTCAAAGACACAGGGAGCAGGGCAAGAGAAAGGAACCGCATTTTCAAAGCACAGAAACTGGGTCACATGAACACAGAGAAGTTTCCACCCCGCCCTTGAACATCAAAGATAACACTAAACAGGACCCGAGATTTCTCGACCTTAATAAACGAGAAACGCTCTCGCACAACGACCCAGGCTCTGTCTGGCTCAAGGACTCACATTCCAAAGGAGTTTGTGCTCAGAGCCGGGGGGGGGGGGACAGGACAGGGCCGGCGGTTATGAGCCCGGGGCTGTGCCCACAGAGCTCGGCGTTGGAATCTCACTTTACCACACGCTCGGGCCCGTGGTCTGGAGTGGGTCCCTTTGCCTTGCTAAGCCTCAGTTTTCCCGTCTGTAATGTGGGAGCGGTGGCAGTACCCGCCTCGCAGGGGTTCTGAGGAATAAGCGAGATCATGAATGCTCAGCTCCGCGTTCACAGCACAAGCTCTGAGGCACTGAGGGAAAAGGGGAGGCATCCCAGGAAGAACCAGGGAGGGCTTCTTGTAGGAGGAAGCAATTGGGTGCAGCCTTGAACGATCAAGAATCCGGATCTTGATTCTGCAAAGCATACGGGTGACACGTCAGAGCCGGGATTCTGGAAGCCCAACGTGGCAGCCACGTGGACCTGAGCCACGGCAGGGATCCACAGACGCCCCTTCAGGACTCCGCTGCTCCTCACAGACGGGGTTCCCCAAGGGACACAGCCCCGTCACGGAGGACCTTTCTGTCTGAATGTGTTACCGTCCTCCGACGGTCAGTCTGACATTTGGAAGGAGGGGCTCTGCTTGAACCGCGGTGGCTTTTCCCCAAGGACCCTACTCTGCCAGCTTAGTGGCTTTCCCTTGATCCCTGGAATGTTCTGGTTTCTAAAGTACTGGTCCATGTGCCAGAAAGTGGAACGCTTCAAAGATGCAAACTGCCAGCTGCCCTGAGTCACGGAGAAAGATCCGCTGGCCTGGGAGGGCCAG